CGAATGTCCACCGACAAAAATCGTACGAAATGTCTTGCTTGGTTAACCAAATTCAATACCAATCGATCGTACGCTGATTTCTCTGGTCCGTTTACCCCAATTTTGGGAAATATATCACGAAAAAAAACAATAATTTATTGATTTCGAATATTGAAATGAGCTCACACATCCGCATGGGAATAATAATACGAACGACAATAACAAAAAAAACTGAGACGTCAAATTGCTGAGACGTCAAATACAGCAGCATGAGTGCGTCTAATTCCGGCGAAGTAAGAGTGCGCACATTTACATTTGTATAGGCAAACGTAGACTTGCTTACACATTTGTTGTCAATTGACAAGTCAATTCGCTCTTCACTGTTACTAACTAGACAATATTACTCTTCTTTACGCTGATTCTAACTGACAATAATTCGCTTAGACTTACTCATTTGCTTTCACTAATCGCTCAATTCTGCTTTCGTTAATCGCTCTTTGCTTGCTTTCGTTAATCGCTCTTTGCCTGCTTTCGCTAATCGCTCTTGAATGCTTTCGCTAGTCGCTCTGGAGTAAGACTGACTTGCAATACTGAGAATCGTGCCGCTATTTATACCAAAAATTTGGCGCGAAATGCGCCGTCGAGTGAGCGTTGAGCATGTGCGAAGTAGCGAAGGAGAAATGCGAAAGCGGGGAAAGTGCGTGAACGAAGCGAAGCATAGCAAAGCAAAGCAAAGCAAAGAACGGCGTGTAGTGAGAGCAAACGAGCAGCTGAAAATGGAATGTTATTTTTGTTCGATTTGGAACATCTTCCCGGGCGGAAAATTTTAAAAGCAAAGACTAAAAACTACGAAATCTTAAAACTAAAAGGGCCCTGCACAGTGTGGAGAAAACAGATCTCCTTTATTGGTGCCAACATATCTAAATTACAATATAATCATACAATGAGCATTTTAATCATTTTTCTCGGCAATTGGTAACTTACACAGCTTCACGATGGGGCGCGTCTTCTCCGGAACTGTTGTCTGCAACTTTGCCATGCGTACGTATCCATCGGTGTCTTCGAAGATTCTTCTTCTTCTTGCGGCGAGTCCATGCGTATAGTCGTGTTGTGATTCGAAACGGGCGGCTGATGAAATATTTCATTACGAATGATGTTGAATGCGAATGCCATTTGGTGAGAGCATTCAATCGCCGTTTGGTCAGTGGTTTTACAAACCATACCTCATTTTCGATCAATTGGCTAACGTAAAATTCATTCAATGCGACTTCGGCTGGTTTTTTGTGTATGCCAAAAGGTTTCTGCTGTTTTGCTTGGCAAAATTGCTGACTTTCATCAGCGCAATTAGCAAATTCGATTTTCCAGCGAGATGCGTGCAATTGAATCCATGCCATAACTTCATTCTCATGCGACAAGTTCGAATTTAATGTGTTTGTAGTTGGAGGCCATTTCATGCTCAAGCTATGACGTGTGCGAAGTTGAAATATTTGGCTAATCGCTAGAAACTTCTCTTCATTCAAATGCAAATGGTTGGCCGTGCACAAAGCATTCATTTCTCGCTTGGTTTTTGCTATTTCCGCTAAATGAGGCGAGGAATCAATCGTGACGATATCGCTCGTCGGAATTGGTTCTTTTTTCGAAAATTCCGGGAATTTTTGATCTTCCGGGGCCAGCGAGAGGCGAAACGTTTCTTCTCTATCATTTGCGAATGTTACTTCGTACAGACTTCCAACGTGTGACACTTTTGAATGTGTTGCAATTGCTTCATTTGATGTGCGCATAATCTCTTCATTCATTGGCAAATAGTACAATGGTGATTCTTCTTCATTCAAAATGACTTCTGCCAATGAAGTTGATGGTTCTTTTGATGCGATTATTCGATCATGTTGCGTGATTGCTATGCTCTGTGTTGCCGTTTCATGCAACTCTGTGCTCATATCTTTCAGTGCTGAAACAGCTGATATATATGACTCGACTACATCTTCATTGGTAATTTTAAAGTGCCTGTAATCATATTCATCGTGATCTTCGATTTTTTCCATCAAGGCTTCATATTTTGCAAATGTATCCTCCAGGAAAGGTATTCGTACTATCGCGGATTCATATGATGCAATGTTTTTAGATTTTTCTTCGTGGTACAAAATTGATCGTACACAACAGTCACGCTTGATTAATAGTTTTTTGTATTCCTTTGATATGTTATCTAGAACCATTTTCAAAATGCCGATTAATTTTAAATGCAAAATTTCTTATTCAAACGTGCAACTAATTGCGATGTTTCGTTATCGCGCAAAATTCAAACTGAGTTTAATGCAATATTTTTGTGATGCGATGAATGTTTTCATCTCAAAACAGTACCAAAAATAATTCGGTGCGATTCCAATTGATCAAATTCGAAGCTAAATGC